AATAGGTACCATTGTGTTTTTCCTCCATTCATCTAACATTCTCTTTATTCCCATTGTATTCATTTTTTAAAATAAACTATCCACCTTTCGTTGACCTCTTCATCCTTCACCAAGACCCTTTGATTCACAATCTTAATGTAATTAATAAAATCTAGATCCCTATACCTTTTCTCTCTCATTTTTGTTAATTTGAAGACATCTTTTTCACCCTTTCTTGTTCCCCGTTTACTATACAAATCACTATTTGCCTTACGTTTAGTCTTACATATCCCCAGTTTATTGTATAGATTATCATATGCCTTAAGTTTAGCTTTACTCACTACTTTTTTAGCATTTTTCTTTGCATTTTATATTCTTCTAAGTCTTGACCCTTTCTATTATATTATCAAGTTTTATAACATGATTGCTTTTCGCTAATGGTTATCTGAACCTCATCACTCCACCACCATATTTTTTTATCAAAATTTTTTTTCCCTCTTATTTCTCCTGAGACATATTTTGCCACTTTCTTAATACAGTCAGTCATTTCATTCTATATAACATTGCCCTCATGCTCAAAGTTTTATTTTCCTACTTTAGCTAGTTAATCGCTACCTCATTGTTCCAATTATGAAAGGTGGACTATGTGACCGAGCAAATCAATATCGATCAAAAATTTTCTACCTTTTTCTTTAGTATTGCTGCCCTAGTCACTCACAAGTGTCCAATACAATATGTGAGACATATAAAACACCAAAGACTCTTACTTGCTTGCCATTAAAACACAAATACATTCATGGTACAGATCTGGAAATAGAGATGCAATTGAATCATAAGAGCATAAAAAAAGAGAATATCTTTATACCTTGCCTCGGGTCACCCCCAATGACTTAGCACACCCCACACCGAATCTCCTCCACGAATGGCACACAGGATCTTGGTTCAAGAACTTGCCTCACAAATTTGGAAAGCCAAGGTAAAAACCAACAGAGAACATAACATGGGACATGCTTGACCAAGGCTTAACATATGAACATAATACCAAAACCTACGACTAGGCTATGGGGCTTGGGCATGCCACCCCTTAGTTTATTTTTTTTTATAAACCCTAAAGCTTAGAGAGAGAAGAAGAGATAGATTTAGAGAGTGCCATTTCACTCCTTGATGCTTAGAGAGAGAGAGATGTCAAGTCTTGAGCATGAGCCCCACTCAGAGCTAGTTTATTTTGAATAAAGGCTAGGGTTTTTAGGGTTAGGGTTTTGCCATCTTTGTGAGACTTAATCAAGACCTTTAATCTTGAAAACTTGTGGGGTCAAGAGATTTCATTCATTCATCACTTGGATCAGCTATTTGGATGAAAGGGAAGAGGTTGAATCATTATCCCTTAGTATCCATAGCTCCATTCCCATCCAATAGAAATTTATAAATCAATCACAATAAATTTCTTACACCTTCCTACTTTGAAATCAATCACTATTAATTTCTTACACTTTCCGATTTTGAAATCAATCAAAATCTCTACAAAAAATGTTTCTTAAAATATCAAGTTAACATATGATATAATTGCCATCTTTCAAATTAGGAACGTTTAGGAGGTGGGGAACACCACCCCTAGGGTAGCCATGTGGGCACCACACATGGTGGGCCCAATGTACCCCAATGAGGCCCCAAATACTTTAAACATAATTTCAAATAATAAAACAATTTTATAAAAAATTTAAATGTTTTATTTTTCCCTATGATTAAAATAAACCCAGAAAATTGAGTTTTACTTAGTTAAAATCATTTCTAAATAAAATAAAATACTTAGAGAGGTCCAAAAATTCATTTTAGTTATCTAAAAAATAATTACTACATATTTAAACATATCTAAAAAGATTTGATTGAAATTGGATCCATAGAGTTACGATCACAACAAATATACTGACGACTCCATCCTCTATAGAGATCGTATCTCACTGCCCCTTCTCAAATTGACCCAACAGTTCCCATGACCCACAACCACTCATAGAAGTCCATGATTTGGACTATCAAAGTTAGACAATAGAGTGAAAGAGATATGATCCTAAACCATGGATTACAGGTCCCTTCCTGAAGACAAGTTCAAGCCCTATTTCAGCAGCATGCTCCATGAGTCTTTCCAAACAGTCCAGTATTGAAGGGAGTTATCTCTTCTACACATGTACATGTCACACATCCTTATCCAAAAGGGTCGCTTCCCAAACGACTATCAAATGTACATGTGATGTAATAGTAATGATGAGGATTTAAGCCCTTGTCCACTCAGGCCATCCATCACACACAGCAAATCTATGGCCGACTATCCTAAGCATATTTCCAACCTCATCAAGGGATAACCCCACATCAAAACCCCTTATCGGTTGTCTTCACACAATGCCCAAGCGTACGGGTTTTTAAACATTACATTGAGCCAAAGCCAATCAAAGCTCAGGTCTGTCTTGGCATCAAAAATACCTCAATCCAAAAGTGGACCACACTGCTACTGGAGCCAATATATCACAATATAAATTCAGTATATGCTTTTATAAGGCCTTACAATGGCCACATAACCCCAACAAATTCCACCACAAAGATCTTGGACACCTATTAATTTCACCCCTTCTCTTCCGTACCTTTATGCAGATATCCATAACTACAAGCCTATGTTGGGCAGTCAAACTCTATTTTTCTATAACCTTACAGTCATTACATGATGGTTAATCTAACTTCTTAACTAGAAGAAGTCTATATGCCATTTATGTAACCCAGTTTTACAGATTATTAAAAGATCATTTTGCTTTTTAAAGTGTTTGCTCTTGCTAGGCCATAGGAAAATCTAGAATAGCCTCACCCATCTCATATCCCCTATACCCCTTCATATCCTCTATTATCCTTCCCTATATGTCTATTTATGTCCCCCCTAAAAAGGTCCTTTCTCCATGTAATATGTCTTAGACTAGTCCATCCATGTCCTCCAAAAAATCTCTCTTAATTCTATCCTCTTGTCCTGGTTGTGGAATATAAGCACTAACAAAGTTCAAAATGTGGATTCAAGCGCCTAGGAATTTTCGGTGCCTGGCCGCCTAGACGCCCGTCCAGAGACAAGGTGCCCTCACCAAAATTGAACCCCCTCCCCCGCCCCAAACAAAAAAAACTGGGGAATTCTTAGCTCATGGTTTTAAGTCTTTGGGAGTTTTTAGGGCGATTTTAGAGCCCCAAACTCCTTGTAAAATAGACGAAAATGTAATAGTATAATCACATAACAGATTTACAGACACAAGTCTCAAAGAGATTGTAACTTGTAAGACATTAAAATGCTTGCAATCCCAAATATTATTGGAAAATAGAAGTCTAGACTAGAGACAATACACAAAATCAACAAGGCAAAATTAAAAAACAAATACATCAAATCATCAACCAAACATTTAAATATATCGTAAAAGAAAAAACAAATGATTCACAACGTAATATGTTGTAGCAAAATAAGATCAAAACCCTCTTTCAAATATGATAATATTTTAAAATATTAAAATCAAATCGATGTCAGTGCAAACTTCGTCTAATGGGTCGCCAAAAGTCCTCAAATCAAATACTAGAAGCTCTAAATCCACCCACGAACTATTGCCTTTGTTTTGGGAAGAAATCGCAAAATCAAAACTTTATTGATCTTTCGATAAAATAATAAAAGAGTAGTTTTTTGGGGAGTTTTTCTCACCCTAAAAGCCACAGTTTTTGTTTTGGGGGTTTAGAATACCCCCCAAAACCCTTTTCCCCCCTTTTTGGGGGCAAAATGACATTTTTTTTACCCTCATCTACTGCTTTTCTCACCTTTCTGCAAACTGTCACTTGGCGGTGCCTAGCTAGGCACCCAAACTGTAGTGCCTAGACGGCACCTTGCCCGCCTAGGCGGGTCTCAGAGACAGGTCGCATAATTCCACCACCCAAACAGCGCCTAGACATTTTTTGAAATTTTTCGTTTAGGCGGTTGGGAGGCGGAATTTTTGAAAAATGAGCACTAATTATGTTAATTACCTCTTCCCCTAATAAAGTTTAATTAGTAGGAGCCTATCACCTACTCTCTTGAAATTAACTACTTTATCTTTTAAATCTTTGTCTACTATTATGCCTATGTCATTTCTATTATTATCCTTTCTTGTATACCAAAGTTTATACCCTTCTATTTCCTTAGTTTTTTCTCCTTTTCACTTAGTTTCTTGCAGACCAGCTATGTTAACTCTCAGTCGTCCCATTATATCCACTAACTCCATGCTCCTACCTGTAAGTGTTCCTACATTCCATATAGCTAAGTGAATTTTATCTCTTAAACTAGCTTATTTAACTACGCTCGTCTAGAATGTCGCAGGAACCCTTGCTTACTTTTCACCACAATCGGGTGCTGCAACGCGTCGCTTTTGGGGAACATCCTTGCTAATCCTCGTTTATTTCTCATTTTATCGGGTTCTGGAACAGCTTGTCGGCTATGGAGCCCTATCATAAGTAGATATCATAGACTCAGGATTCATGAAAAAGTTTTGGTAAAGTTTTACATTAGCTGCCTACCTAAGGTCCTCACCCATCTTAGAACAAAATAATTTCGATGGCAATTCTTTAGGAAATCCCGATCTTGAATGGGTGGAAGGAATTCTCCAATTCAATCAGGGGAGATAATGGTTATTTATACATATTTGAATGAAGCAAGAATTGATCAACATGGACCTCTCTCATTATCAACGGATATGTCATATGTGTTTGCATGGGCAAGAAGAGTAAATCTATGCCCGTCGAAACGCAATACTATCTTCGACAAAATCCTTGAGTGAAGAACCAATCTATAAATGACTTGAGTTCATACTTCGAGAGAATAATATTGCCTTAACTGACCATATTGCCGCACATTTATATGCATGCAATTATGCTGCAATTAAACACGAGATTATTAATTGAATGAGCGAAGGCATCCAAACAATGATATACAAACAACATGATCTGCAAGGCGTTACTCTTTGGACGCAGTTTCATACCAATTGCAGCTGTTATATTTGATGTAGTCAGGATAATCACATTAGGCCAGGATTTCAGCCTGTCAAGTTGAGTGAGCAAGGCATTTACAACCTGGAAAATTTAAAATGAATGAGTATAACTAAGTATTATCATTATTTACAAATATATCCCCTAAATGTTTAATCGAGTGCTTAATGCCAGTTGAAGAGAAACTTTGACATCAGGATTGTTGCCAAAAGAGAAAATATACTCGAATTGAGTCAGATGGCTCCGAACCAGACAACGCTGCCTTTCTTGCAGCAGCAAGACTCTCCACCTCATCTGTGAGAAACTCAATCATGCAGAAAGAAGCAATCAGTTGTCCAACTATGGTAGTTCAGTTCATCTAGAAAATTACACTCAAGAATAAAAAATAATGAACAGGACATGTAGAACTGTGCAGGACAGCATAAGAGGGTCATGCCAAAAAAAACCAATGTTATTAGAACAGAACAAGCCATCGGATCAGTGCCTCCAATGGTTCGGTTAAACCAGACAGTCCATCAGTCAGACTGGTCAAATTATAAAATAAAAATAAAAATTTCAGAAAATTAAGAACTATTTCTTTGTGATATTCAGTAAGATTTCTATATGATTACTCTCCCCATACTCTAAAACTAAATTTCTTGAAAATATATTCCAAAAGTGGGTTATTTTTTTCATTACTTGAATTTGATTGCTGGCATCCTAAAGCCCTCAACTAAAATTGGGTGACTTCCTTCAATACTTGAATGTTGTGCACTATTTAGGTTTGGATGGTGCTTTATTGAGTAGGTGATATCACGAGGTCTGGGACAATGTCTTATTCTAGTTCAAGTAGGTCAGTTGATCTAAGTTAGAAATATGGATCATGTCCTAAGAAACCTAATGATAAGAATAGGTTAGCCTCTATTTTTTGTACAAAGGATATGATGCCGGCATAAATAGACTAAAAAAACATTTGGCCAGCATTGAAGGGGATGTAGCTCTATGCACTAATTGCCACATGATATTAGGAAAGAGATGCTAGACCATTTGCAAGGGGTTCAAAAGTAGAAAGAAGAGAACAAAAAATACAATGACATTATGAGGAGTGTGGCTATACATGGAGTACGAGAAAAGTACGAGAAGAGAAAGATGTATATGCCGAGGAAGGGGCTCTATTAAGCAGGGCCTTTGGGCAAAAGAGGCCTCGAGCAAGAGGACTTATAGATTCTTGCAGTCCCCCACCTAATCGTGAGGGCAGATCAATATAAAGGGACACTTTAAGAAAGAAGACAAGGATAAAGTATCTCTTTTTGAGTAAGTTGGTTCCATCAAGCAGACACTCCACTCAATGATGCCAACTAAAAGAGCTTCTAAGCTAGCTTGGAAGCAGTGGGGCAATCAGGGTTAGGGTATAGTGCCCCTATCAAGGAGTCATTGCAAATAAAGGAGGTGGAGCTCACAAATAACTTTTTGAAGACTCACAAGGGTGCATGGTGATGTATAGGGTCATCAGGATGACGGATTCACAGACCGATAAGACAAATGGAAGTACTATGAACTTGATGATAAATTGTTGTCCATTGGGACATGATTTTGAGATTCATTGATGCGTCTGATAAGATTCATGATCCACAGTAGTGGATCGGTGTATAGCAAAGGAGAGGGACCAACACATGATCCAAGTAGCCACTGACATGACTGCAGCCACATTTTGATATATTGATGGCGAAGAGGCCACGCATTTTTTGGCCACCTTGTGTGGCACATTGTATAGACTTCATGCTTGAGGCATTAGCAAGATGAAGGTGCTGGAAATGGCATTGAAGAAAGCAAAGACTATCAAAATCCATATATATACAGCCACATTACGTAAGTTCAAATCAAAACTTATATTTTTCATCGTGAATTTCTGATTTGAATATTTAGTAAAGTTCAAAGTTTTGACTTAAGTCAAGTTAACTCTTGGTTTCTAAGTTACCAAAGTTCTTAGTTTTAATTTTACTAACTAAAGCTACTAAATTTTAACTTGAGTCAGGTTAAAACTTACTAGAGTTCTAAATGCCTATGTAACTAGGCCTCCAAAGTCCAAAAATACTCATGTTACTTTGTTGTATAGATATTATTCACCTTGTCATGGCGAATATGAGAAAATTTGCATATGAGAGGGAATTCGTGAGGCCTAGGTGCCTAGATTTGCGACCGCGCATTTGTTTCTATAATCTGTAGTAGCGCTAACAAGACAAGCTCAGGGCCATGTATGTATATGAAGAATGGACCTAACGCTGATGGTCCAAGCGAGCCCAAGGGAAAGTGGTGGTTAAGTCATTTCTGGAATGAGGTTTTCTATGCCCTATGTGCTTTTGACCCATTATTGAAATAGTGACAGGGAACCAACAAAGGATTACATATGTAGGGCAATGGTCAATGGAGGTCGCCAAGGATGAAATAAAGAAGAATTTTAGCAATAATAACAATAAATATAGTCCTTTTTATGAAAATTACAGAAGAGAACAAGAACTCACAACTAGAGAAAATTCCACACCTACTAGGGTATTATCTCAAACGTGCATATGTCCATACTGATCATAGGATACATGCTAAGAGTCAATTCATGGATGCAATTAACATCTGCAACATGAAACTGAACCCTAATCTTGATGTCCAAACCAAGTGCCAATGGGTCTGATAAGTATAAATTTCAATCAGGTAACTTGGTACAGATTTGACAATAAGACAGATGACTAAGATCTATCAGAGTAAGTTCAAAACTTCTTTGTTTTGGATTTGTGATTCGAGTACTTAGTTCTAGCGTCAATGATTCTATCTACTACCTGGACTGTCAAATATAACTGTGCACTCCATTTATTTTTATTTAATAGAGCTTCATGGTGGGCAAATCATGGGGGAAGCGCCCATCACGTGCAGTATATGGCTATTCAAATTACAAGTTTGACTCGCAGCTCAATTGGTTGTGACTGCAACAACTTTAGCACTTTCGAGATGGTATGTTTTTAACCTACGCATTGTCCATCTATGCTAGGTTCCCAGACTTCTACTACCCCTAACTTGTGATAATACATTATCTCACAGGTACATACAACAAAGAGAAATAGGCTCAAACAAAAGAGAATGGACAACCTTGCTTTTATTTAGAATAATCAAAAACAAAAAGAGCGCTTCGAAGGGAAAATCATCCCTGTTATTATAAAAAATGTTGATGATAGCAGCAGTGATTGGTCAATTCTGGAGGCAAAGAAGTATTCCCCTGAGTGGAATTGACCTCGAGCCAAGTTCATGAGATTTCTAGTACCCCACTCAGCCCTATACGGACCACAAGATCTCAATCTTGGAGAAAGAGGTTGAGGAGAGTGAGTGGGGAGGACAACTCTTAGGATGCCGGCTTGGCATCATGCATCAAATTCAGATGCAGCCGCTAGTGGAGATGGAGATGCTGTGGGAACATTGATCAAATTCAAATACTAAATTGTGTTCATGAGATTTGTTGGAAAGTTTTGAGTTTTGTTGGCTAGCCTTTTGAGTTTTGACTTTTGTCAGAAGTGAATTGTTGAGCTGTGATTTTGTTTGCGAGTGATGTACATTGTTGAATATGATCCTATCGTACCTGGGCATGTCATGACATGTGGTTTATGTGAACATTCATTGACTAACACAATTTTCTACAAATTTTAGGAAAGTTTCAAACTTATAAAGTTTTAGCATTCAATTTCAAGTTTCAAATTCATTAATATGAGTTTAAATGAGTTTCAACTTTTGTGAGATGTGAATTGTTGAGCTGTGATTTTGTTTGCGAGTCATGTACAATGTTGACTATGATCCTATCGCACCTTGGCATGTAATGACATGTGGTTTAAGTGAATATTCATTTTTTACAAATTTTATGCAAGTTCCAAACTTATAAACTTTTAGCATTCAATTTTGAGTTTCAAATTCATTAATATGAGTTTAAAATAGTTCAATTGTATAACACAGTACATACAAAAGCCCCTTGAAGTAGCTTTTTTATACTTATAATTGTTTTATAGTTCAATTGGGGAGATTTTGTCAACCTACCTAAACATCAAAAAACACCCAAGACAGTACAAAGCTAATGCCCCACTATTTGGGCCAGCTAGGTTTCGAGGCTGCCAAGTCCGCATTATTCATGTATGTTTTGAGTATGAACAACCTCTTTTTTTCCCTCATGGGTATAATCCCTCGAATCAACCATGATAAACCTCCTGGCCCCTGATTTTCATATATTATCTGTCCTATGTAATTTTTTCCTTTGGTGTAATGTGTAATGTTAATGGATATCATGTGAAAAGGACAAAATCCCTCGTGGGTAAGCAAGGCATAAGACCTCATTGTGAAGGATGAGGTTATCATTGTGAGGTTTGATCGGTATTTGGGGAACTGATGAGGCTCATAGGACAGTACGAGTGTGTGAATTGACGCCTTGATGCTCACCATGTGAGGGTTGGTAACAATTATTAGAATGCAATGAAGGGCGATTCTGTAGTTTGTGTGTATTTTAAGTGGTTTATATATTGTAACATCTTTTGTTGTGATGTATAAGGGATATCGATACGTACTCAAGATATGACCTTATTTATAATATAATATAAGAATTACGGCACTGCACTAGTGTGTGTTGTCATGGGAGAATAGTGCATACCTTTTTTCTCTTCTTCTCTATGTTTTTCATGGTATCAAAGAGAGGTTTGAATATGCTCTCAATGTGGTCAACTTTAATCAAGGTAACTCATATATTCTTCTTCTTAATGATTCATTATCTCTATCTTCAAAGCCCTAGTCTTTCCTTATTCATCTTTACCGTCTTTCATCATCCTTGTCCTCCTTTCCTAAACCCTAATCTTTCTCTCATATTTCGTCCATTTTGGGGGCACCTACTGTACACACTATTGTTCTTTCTATGGGTTGTGCTATTGTTCACGCTATTTATTCATTCTATTATTCATGCTATTTTTCTTTCAAAGCCCAATAAATCAACAACAAAACTCTTGATTCTCTCTTTATCCAATATAAAACCCTAGACCTCATCTGAAATCAACAATACTGCTCATCACAATCTATTTCTCTCTCTTTAAAAAATAGAGAAAATCCTAACTATTGTTCTCCTTCTTGGTTCACGAAACCTAGCCCAAACCCCTAATTGTTTTTCTCTCTCATGCTCATCAAAACTTAATTGCTAGTTGTGTTCCCTTATTTCATCTTCCTTGAAATCTTTTGCTCTATTGCCTTTTCTTATTCTGCTAACAATGGCCTTATCATTTTCTTTTACGTCTATTAGTCTT